ACCATCGATTAGATTAAACTAGGTAAGACTCGGGTTATTATCCCGGCAGCCAACCACTCAAGCTAGTATTTAAGGTCTTATGCAAATACGGAAGAGGATGAACTTCCGACATCTTCACCGAATTTTCCCCATACAAATACTCTAAATAAATTTTTTTAAACGAAGAATTAAAGCAATACAAATAGAAATGAACGTGATATTGATTGTGTTTAAGAAACCACATATAGTATTGAAAGTTTTTTATTACTATCTCGAAAACTAATAAATGCTAGGAGCTTAAATTCTACATTTTGGTTCCATTAGCTTTCCCTGTGATTTCTCCCAAATTTCACGTACAACCGTGATATTTCTCGCGGCTGGTAGGAAAACATCACGCCCGCAAACCTCGAATGCGGTTCCTTTTTATTTCAAGTGCTCCAAGTGTCTTCTACGCCGGTTGTTGAAGCGCAGTGAATGTCGAAACCCTCCGTGCGCGTTGCGCGGCTTGTTGCAGCAATGTAAACGTGCTTTACGAGCAGCTTGTGTCACGCCTGCTACCACATTTTAGTTTACGCGACCAGACCAATAATTTGCGAAAACGGTTATCCAAAAAATTTGCAGAAAAAATAATCATTAACAAAACTCTGTTACATAAGTCGAAGGTAACCATTATCAAAACATATACACGACTAAAAATATCAATTTCTGAACATTCTGGTTACACAATAATGATTATTTTTAGTTGTTGATAATCATTATCTCGGTTGCTCGTAATAATTATCGACGAGGAAAATTGCTTTATCATTCATGTTTTACCATTGCTAATGAAAGTCTTGGTTAAAATTACTCATAATCAGTATCAATTACGTAAATTGAATTATGGTAAAAGAGAGCAGATTAAAACGGATCACTTTAGTATATAAATATATTTCTATCGTCGATAACTGATACGAACGACCGAAATGAATTTCCCTCGTCAATAATGGTTATTGGTAACGAAAAAAACTTTTATACCCGCTATTTATAACTGAAAGCATTTTAGTCAAGAAAATTATTGTTAACCTATAACTTTTTTATCTAATTACAGTATCAATCTTCTTAAGTTCTATTATGTCTGGTAATATCGTTTTGCAGTTAATAGTTCCCAATTTTTCCGTTTCAGTTCGTGACTCATTCGTTTTATTTTCGTATTTGAAACACGATACTATTCACGTATGAAGCGCGAAAAAAGACTGTTTAATGTCTATACGCTAACCATGTATGTTGACACTTGAAGCAGAAACAATTATTATGTATGTATGTCACGAGAATCATAGCTACGACTAGCTGAAATAATCTTCCTACATAATGTTCATAACGTGAGAGAAATTTTTTTCTAAATATTCTGATCCAGGGATATACGCATCCTGAATTTTCCAAAAGAGTTTAGCACACTTGTTACTAATGTATCCAATGTATTTTAAGTAAATTACGATAATTTACACTTTCAAGTAGTAAAATCGGGACACCGTATTCATTTAGAAGTGGGTTAGATAGTGATTTTTATTTCGAGCCGACACTGCCTCTTGTATACTGTTCGACGAGGGAAATTAATAGGATACGACAGGAAAAAGTAAAATAGAACAACAATGACCGAGTTTCGCGCACAAACGCCCGGTGGCCGAAAACTTTTTATATTTTTCGTTGCCTCGCAGACCCAGTTTCTGATCACTTAAACGTGATTTTAATTTGGTATACAAAAGTGTAAAAATAGTAACAGTTACATTACAGTTGTATAAATGTCATTAAAATTATTTTTCGTATACGTAAAACTCATTTTTATCGAGAGACCTTCACGAATCGCCTGATAATAACGTCATGAATATATAACGAAGGATATAACAATTGTTGTCAGTAGATGAGAATGAATGATACGTATTTATCTCATTGCTTTCGCCTGGGACCGCTGGGTCAATGTAAACAGCAGAGGAGATGATTCCGCTATTGGATTCCAATGTAAAAATTATCTCTCGGAAGTGAGAATTATTGTACTTCATAACTAGCTGTTACCCGCATCATCGCCCGCATTGAATTCTTTTTTACGTATCTCGTTGCATGTGGGAAGTGCAGCAAGAGTGCATTCCTAACGCTAAAATAAAAAACCCAGTTTGTATAAACGTATGCCTGATATTATTTTCTACTCAAGTTACAGCTTCTTTTGTCTTGTAATAACTGCCTATCTACCTCCTCTTCCCGTTTCTCTTGTACTACGAGTACAGTTCGATGCATTTAACACCTGTTATTCTCGTCTAAATGGTAAAACGGCGATTTAGAAACCGCTCTAAAGTTGTACTTACGATCGAAAGTTCAGTAGATATTTAGTTAACCAAAAGCTGTAATTCGGTTGAAGTGCTCTATAAACTCTACGTTTAAGTCACAGTTACAAAGTTACAATTTATATAGATAACGTTTCTGGAGGCATCACCCACGCGTCGCTAAAGACGAATAAAGAGCATCGCGCCGAATAAATATCTTATTTACGACGGTAGTAAAATGAAAGGAAACGAGGCATCGAGTCGCTTCGAAAACCCTGTCGTTTCCCTTTTCACAATTGAACGCCACTGAAAAGATGCCGGACCTTTTGTATTCATTGTGTAAAGAGGAAAAGGTTGCGCGACTATAGCGGGGCGAACTGCTGCCAGCGGCGTTGGGTAGTCGAAATCTGCCCCTACCTTGTCGCGTATTTTTCTAAGGGTTCGTATCGGCTCGAGTAATTACGCCTACATATGTATGACAGGTCTGAGGGTGAAACCCTTCCAACATTGAAGCCCCCGCCACCTGACGCAGCCGCGCTTAAGTGGAAGAGTTACGTGCCGACGAATAGTAATACCAACCGCTGTGTTTAGAAGGCGTACTCGCCTGGGCACGCAAGAAAATCCATCTAATTCTGGAAGGCGCCCGAGCTAGCCGAATACAAATTTATAAGGTTCAGGGAAGTCGTTATCGTCTAGCTTCGGGTCGCTGATCGATCGTGAAAATGATTACCCTCGTTTCTATTTGGGGAAGGCGCAGCCCGCGAAAGGAGACGAATGGCATTATCGGATATTGAATGCAGCGCAATGTAAACTATGCATAAAATTTAACGATTCCGACCTGCACGCTCCTCCGATGCAGTGTCTCCCAACCCTTGGTCCGCAACAATTTTGACAACACGAAAGAAACCCTTGTAGCGTGCAAAAAAAATATTTAAAATTTGTACTTTGTTTGGGATTTAAAAGTTTTTTTAATTTGAAACTCTAGGTCAAACAAAATCCGATCAACATATTAATTTAAACAAATACGATAAAGTTAAGAATTGCATTTGTAGAAGTCATAAAGTTGTACCAAGAAAACGACGATGGTCGCACTTGAAGACCGTGGTACAGGTGTACAGCACTCATAGCACTTCGCAACCCTAACTCTAATGCCGAGGGGCGTGAAAATTAATGCGCAGTCAAGTGTTTCCTTTGTTTGTACCCTATACGTCTGACAAACTGAAAGAGCGAGTATAATCGTGCATCGAAGCAAGGTCGAATAAAAGTTCGTTGCTTTTCAAAGTTAAGTTTTTAACAAATGAATATAAAAAGGATTGGTTAAGAGTAGAACGCAGCGACGCCACAAATGTTGATGAACCTACTTTTAAAATTCACAAACATCGCTGTCTGTATTCACATATCTTTTCTTGAATAAATGGACAAAGGATTCGACTCTGCTACAAAACAAGAAAAGTGGGGGATACAATTTTCCAAGTTCAGCGAAACGTTTCTAAAAGAAAAAAAAAAGCGGGAAAATAAAAGAGTATAACAGCGTGGAAACTACAGGAATGGGGATCTCTTCATGAAACTCTCTCCATGCAAATGAAACTTTGAATCTTTATGCATCCACAATGGTATAGTTACGCAATTATAATCCGTGCGAGAATTTCTGTTCCGTTCCACTGTCTTATTCGCAAATAGATACGAAATTTTAATTAAATATACTGCTGCTCGATTTTCTGGCGCGTGAAAAGATTCGTTGGCATATTTCTCCGCTTGTAATTTGACTTTCAAATTCTTGTTAAATGTATGCCACGAAATTCACTGAATTCTGAAGGTTGAAATAATACATGCCGCATGTTACGAATGCTTTGTTTGTCGTGCTAGAGTATATTTACCAAGTGCTCCGCGATGTAACTAGTAATACTTTCCAGCATGATTGACAAGTTATATGATAACGTTATCAATATTCTATAATCTATGTTCTTGATAATTTCATAATAGCTGCAAATTTGCACATTATTAACGATTTGCAAAACAACGAATACTTTTTAAAATAGTATATCGTGACCTTGAGATTGACCCTGAATCTGAATTATTCACCATGATCTATGTAATTGTGTGCAATATTGACATATTGCCGAATAGATCATGAGGTCACCAACATTCGGATCACGTGACGGGGTAGAGACTAGTAAAATTGGATTGGTGGGTGGGGCCTTGGGGTGGAGGAGCCCCCACCATCTAGAAATCCGAATGTCGGGTGACGTGACAATCTATCCGGTACTATTACAACCCTGGATATGTGTCGTATTTTCGCGTCTGATACAAATCGATCGTCAAGTGGCACACACTGATCGACAGATACATATTCAACATATTACCGATATCTTCTCCGTATAGTGTTTGTTTATATTAGATAGGATCCAGTTTGACATTAGAGATAATATTATCAAGGATTTATCTATCTACAACTGGATTGTGAAATCCATAAGGTCATAAACTTTTTATATAAATTCTCAAGTTCAATATCAGTTCAATATTACGATATCTAAGTAATTGAATCATTCTTCATGGAAATACAAATAATCGCGATAAAGTAAAAAACATATCAAGCATCTTCGATACCAATTCGAACCATCATCGTTGAGTAATGCATTTTACTACTGTCTGAAATCCTTCGCGTATACGTCATCGACAGAACGTTTTGGGATAAAAAACGACGATTGTTCCTTTCTCATTTAACAGGACGAAGGATGGAAACTAGACCGTACAAATTACTATCAGGAGGGATGGTTGGCCACTGGTAACGCTCGTGGCCTTGTGGGGGTGACTTTTACTACGTCTCACTGCCGAACGAGGGCCACGGAACTTCCACTGAGAGCAAATTACAACCTTCGGGGACATCGCAGCGAGGTGAGTTCTATTTTTCTTAGCCAGAACACTTTTTCTGCGTTTCTTCTTCACGCGATCGTAGTAAACGAGACGCGGTGAAGTGTCATTTAATTTGCTCATTTCCCCCTTTTCAAACCAGTGGAGCGGTTAATAACGTTGATCGTTTTAATTCCTGGAACCCCTACGTTATTCAAGAGGCAGTCCGTAAACGTTGGCTGGAAAAGTTTCTTAGTCAAAGGTGCGAGTTCTTCGGTTCTTAAATCATATTTGATAGGATGAGAATACACTCGAAGCCCCGGATAAATTTATACAGTCTCGATCGGGTTCGATAGGCGGTAGTTCCTAAAATTACACAATTAATCGACGACTTTGTACCTGTCGATAAATTATACCACGTAGTAGTATTTAGAACAAAGTAATCTAGCAAGTGTAGTATCAAGACATTTTCAACATTGGTAGACTCAATTTTTTATATATTGTATCAGAATTTTTTTAATTTATATGCCTTATTTCTTTTGTTTTGAAAATTCCCGGGCCCCCGTTAACACAGAATGTTCTTCAAAAGAAATTTCATATTATATTATATTCGTTGATAGAGAGCACCAGAGGGCACATAAAGCAATCCCTGTACAATAAAGGTTTAATAGAACTTTGCTCACAGAGTTGGTTGACTATCTTTATCACGAGAAAACCAGCGAGAAAGACGGTTGACAAACTCTGTGCTTTAAATCCCCAATAAACCTCTGTATGTATGAAGCTACAAAGAAAAGTCACTCTCTTTTCAACATTGTATTAAAAAAAGAACAAAAATTCCACATCAAGCCACACCAAGAAAACATTTATTTTTAAAATCAATAAATAGCAAGTTATTTTACATAACAATTATATATAAGTTCAATGCAAACTTCTTTGAAGTTTAAAACTCTAAATTGGCGATACTCAAACTTTTTCGATATACCGACTCCTTGGTTCCATAAATTACCCACCAGTATCCTCCAACTTATAAAAATAAAATTACGACCTATTGAAAAGTTAATATTGTAAATGCCTATCTGCCTGGTGAATATAAATACACTTGGCGCGTGGCAGTCGTTGCAAGGAAATTTAATATAACGTTTTCGATTCTTATTTATAGATTCGCTTCGATACACATTAAAGACAAGTTGCCTAGATTGGATTGCGTTCGACATTTTCTAACACTGTAATATTTCTAACAAAGAAGAACAAATATTTACCGATTATCATTCTACATTTATTAGACAATTCGTTGATAAAGGACATTTTTAAATAATTCTCAATTGCTCAATTTTGATCATCAGTATTCCAATTTCGACCATAACATTATACACGGAATACTAAGTTTCTTACTTAAGTAAACGTGTACAGGGGTGCGTCACGCAAATGTCACGGGTTATACCTCGTATTTGGTAAGAAAAGAAAAAGACGAATGATATGATAATGTCTATTTTTCTGTGTCCTCGTTTTTCTTAATAGACTTTTTACTCGTATCAATTTTTCGAACCATTTTGCGTAAGAAAGTGTAAGGACACAACGCTTAAAAAATCAATATTTCGTAAGATATTTCAAGCGTTTGCAAATACGTATACTTTATTGAAGGTGTTCGAACACAGTGACCTCCATGCCTTACGAACCCTGTATCGTTCCGACCACCGTGTCATCTGCGAAACTTCCCAAACCTTGCCCTAATCTATCATCCCCTCTTCTACTTCCAAAATCCTTAAAAGCTATTGCAACCTACATAGATAGCGATTTTTATCTCCAGCTGAGATCAAGCCTCGTGTGTTCTGTCCGACGAGGAAAGTAAATGGTGTACACCGAGACTGACCGACATAAAGCAACACCCTGCGAGCCTCGCATTACACCAACCCGATAGCCAAAAAATTATTATTATGCACTTCCTCATTCTTTATCAAACTATTATGAACAGATTGGCGAGGTTTTCCAAACGAAAACGAACAGAAACGCAACGTTACGTAATTATCAATTTGAATTTCTATCGGATCTATCACTGTTTCTCTACCCAACCCGATATATTTTTATAAAATACATTAAGTTGTTCACTCGAAAAATGGATTCGTTCCAAAAGCTTCCCGCGTGAGTCAAATACCATGCATTTCAAATTAAGGAGAACGCGGTATCGTCAGCAAAGAAAATGTGTACAGTGTGGAGTAATATTTGCTTAAACTCTGAGCTCATGAGGGCTGATTAAAATGTCTGACCTGGTACACTAATCCTTTGCTTCAAGACTGAGTTTTCCCCGGCCACAACCCGCAAAGTCATCCCTATCACTATTTATGTTCCTTACACTCGAGCGTACGGCAGCTGTGGGTTCAAAAACTGACTGGTCGAACTCCAAAGCGACGCGTCGCGGCTAAAAGCGCGGCAGCTGTCGACACAAACTAAAACAGATTTATTTTCAAACAGAAAATGCTCAAAAAATATTTTTTAAGAACATTGCTTCTATTGGTACTCCACTCAAAAATGTAATACAAATTTTATTTTATATAATGCTATCCATTACACTCCCACCCTTGTATAGGCGAAATCACTGTTCTAAACGCTGGCCATTCGTGGATCGCGTAAGTCGTTATCGATACCCGTTGATCGAAATTGATCAATTTGAGGTATCCGAATAAGTCATAACGCGATAATAAATTTGCAACATAGCGGCGCGCGGACGGAGCATCGTATCGCAGTTTCGCAGCCACGAGGGGCCTAATTTTACGGCTCACCCCCTAGCTTTCGACACCGAGTCGTCGGGTGTAGCGCGTTGACAGGTGCGGCAGTGATACGAGTACCCCGCAATTTTCAATCGGTGACCCATTTTGCGGCCGCGCGGAACGAAGCCTACGAGAAGTTATCGAACACGTGCAGAGAACATTGTGTCTGGCATACACACCCTATCTGGCCGAAGCCAGTCCATGACAGCCTATTACATGACGCGAACGCGTTAAATCGAGAAAGAAATTGGATGGATGCGAGTCACCGATAACACTCGACGGATAATATTTCGGTTGCTCCCGGAGCAATTTTTTCACCTCTTCGACGATATTCCGGTGGAATCTACATTCTACGAACCGATGGGAAGTCACCAGTGGCGTAACCAACGTTGCTGTTTATTTTCAGTTTTATTTTATTCGACATTTTTACTGCGCGTTAACAAAAATATCTACGAGAATAACACAGGCATTGTACGAGAAAAACGGTCCCAGAAAGGCTCTGCAGTTACGGAAAATAGAGCCATTCTGGAACTTTGGAAGGGAAAGGAGTTTGAGGAATAGGGCGAAGCGAGTTCAAGGAAGAGGCATTGGGTGTTTTGGAGATAGGATAAACTATAATGTTTCTAAGAAAGGAAGTTTGATTGATTTGAAGATCTTGTATGCCTGCGTGCTAATACTTATGATGAGTCCTTTTAAAGGAAAGATAATCCTTTTCTCTACATTTCTTATTCAGTAAAATTCCGATTATCCGGCATACTCGGGACTATACCTACGTAATAAAAACGAGGTATAATCACAGATGAGATATACAAGTAGACCTTACATGTAATGTATTTTTTCGGTTCATTTTTCTGGTGCTTTATTTTCGTATCACTCGCAACATTACTAACAGATTACAGAAATGAACACAAGAGGAAGTGAGACGGAAAATGAAATTAAAGAAACATTTCTGACCACACACTATATTTTCGGCAATGAATTTTTTTCTCGAAAGTGCGTAGGAATTCGGGGTTATGTCTATTCACCAAAAATACTTGTAATAGGCCCCCACAACCAAAAATAATTTTTTCAAAATTATTTGAAATTTTTTAATTTTGTCGGAAAAATCCATCCACTGAATTTTTTTCTCGAAAGTGCATAGGATTTTGGGGGTGTGTTTATTTACCAAAAATGATTGTAATTAACCTCTGCAACGGAAAATAATTTTTCCAGAAAAATTTAAGCACCTTACTCCTGTCGATTTTTGTTAAGAAATCGTTTTTGATTTTTAGTAAATTTGTTTGACGCTTTACGGAAATGTTGTTTAATAGTTTTTCGTAGGTATCCATGAGCTTTACTTATTAAATAAATTTCAACCGGATGCCGGTTAATCGGTACTCTACTGTAATATTAGAAAAAAATAAAATGTTAGATCAAAATCTTGCAACAGATTTCGAGATTTGGACGCGTAGATTCACCCATCGAGGCGCGAGAAATATTTGTTTTACAGCTTGTATGTCGCGTGTTTCGTAGTAACACGCAGACTTTGGTAAAAAATCGACAGGTGTCTGTATAACCTGGGTCTATTTCACACACTTTCGTGTAAGTTTTCATTGAGGGTAAACTGGGTGCAAACAGCGCCGGATCCTTTGTTGAGGGTGTCAATCGATATTAAGCCGTGGGCTGTTGTAACGAACCGCGACTGTTCCGGCTGGGCGTCGTGCAACTTTGCGAAATATTTCACTGGGTCCATAACTCCTAGGAAATATGCAAATGTTACTTCCGCTCGCGATCAAAATATTAATATTGCGGGCATAAAATTGAAAGGTGTGCACTATTGACGCATCCCCGTTCCCCCGTTTTACACATTATTACTTCATATTCCAGCCCTTCCCTTCTACCATCTTCTTTTTCGCCGAACCTCCTCCGCCTATAGAACGCTTTCAATTTTACCGGACAGATCTTGCTGGCTTATGAAAACATGCAAAATGAAAAAATAACAATCCACGAAAAATATAGCATTTACGTACTTAAGTCAGACATATCGTTTTCGAAATACGGTGACTTAAACCACTTTTTCTTGAAATGGAAAACAATTTTTCTTTTGTGCAAATATAGTCTCAGTAACCGTAGTACAACCGAGTATGGGGTAGTTTTTTTTATTCAAAAACAGATCGAAAATGCAGAATAAAATTTTGTTGTTCAATGTCCCGCTATTGAGAAGAACAACTTTGAATATCTGTTGGATATGAATTAGGAATACAGTACCGCTTGAGAAGTTGCTCTGTGACAACTTCGAAG